ATTCTGCAGCCTCATCATGCCTCGCGAGATCTCATTACTGATACGACATATACAGGTGTCCTCCAGTGTGCATGATGGGGACTTAGTGTGCAGCGTCTCACTTGAGTTTGGTTGGAGGGTCTCCAGGATGAGGCTTATTTCGGTCTCCCATGTGAGGTCTAGTTTTTATCAGTTTGCAGTGTTTTTGCTTTAAGCACTTGAGGTCACTTTTTCTAATAATATAAGTATCGAGAGATGTTTACACAGTAGTGGGGTATTGAAATCGCTGCAGACATGGTGTGTTTAAGTTATATCCAATTTCAGTACGAAAAGGCGCAGAGGCTTTCGGATCATGATGTTGGAACGTGGTTTGTTCGCTTATTATTATGGCGCTTGTTAATTATCGAATTTTATTGTGATAATATTAGAGTGAGGTAAGTGAATGATAGTGTATGGGGTAATTACGATTATAAGATATAGGAGAGGTATTTTTATGCCCATACTTGTGTATGTTTAGGGTGACATTTGACATAAAAAGAGACCGAGTACACACGAGAATGACACACATGAGAGTTAGTAGGAGTTATAAGAATACCAAATAAAAAACAATAGTTAGAGTAAGAAATGAATAGAATAAACATTGTATAGTAAAGCATATGTTTAGCTCGCGGAACACTCATTTTATTCCATTGTAGTGTTATTGTTAAGACATTGGTGATTGCGCCAGCTACGGTGCCGTGTGGTTTATACTCACTGAGATAGAATTAAGGTATATTTAAATAATCCAGTTAACTATAATCAGAGCAGAATGAGTGTGAAGTAGATATTGTTTGATTAGAGCGTTGTGAATTGGGTGTTGAGCCATGAAGTATATTATCTGACTGATGCTGGATAAGAAATATGTGTCAGAATTGTGAGTTCTCATAAAAGAGATGGTGACCTTTAAAACACAGCCATACCATGGGTTTATCATGTGACTCTTCTACTTATTCATTATGATTATAAAGAAGCTCAAAAAATAATAATTGATTTACAATGGTCTAATTACCAGTAGGGATGAGGAGTGTGAGAGAGAGCGCGTCAAGTTGGCACTGAGTCAGTGAACTTTAATTTTGTTTAGCTTTTTAACCAGAGTAACACTTGTTGCAGTGACTAAACTGAGAGTAATTCTTAGGCGCACAGTGTTCATTCACTATTTCTCTCCTTTGATTAATTATTATTGTGAATTAATACAAACAAAACATCCGAGATTCTCTCCGATCATTTTATATGGTTATCATAAACTTAGTCTTGACACTATTGGCTCAGAGAATGTCATTATCGTGAGAAACAACACAATGAAGACAGCTTTTCTTCAATACTTGATGCTGCAGGTAATGATGGTGTTTACCAGCATTCCCCCCTGACCACATGTGCATCAGTCCCTGACCTGAGAAGCTGCACCAACCGCAGAATGGATGAAGCTGACTGAGATAAATCCTCTTACTGGAAGGGTTAAACTCTAATCTTAACAATCTCCTTTTCACCCTTGCATGTAAAACCATACGGGAGTGAACAATAGCGCATAAACATCCTTCAAACGCTTAAGAATAAGTAAACAAAAGATACAAATAAAAGGTATAAAATAAAAGCTAGGTATTTAAATAACCGAATCTTCTTATGCATCGACGTCGATGTTCTTACTGAAGAACAAAAACATGTATCCACAAAGCCAAAGCACAAACATATTTTGTACAGTTAGTGTTTCTCTGGTTGCTTGATGAACTTTAAACAACCTGTCAGTATGGATTCTCCAGGTGAGGTTATTTAAATGATTAGAGTTAAATGTGTCTCCCCAGTGTCCTTTGGTTGGCCAGTGTAGGACGGATTGTGACAATTTGTAATTTAGTCAGGTGGCCCCTCAGGTCTGACAAACCATCTTTCTCTCTCGAGTTCCTTCCTTGTTTATTGATTTCTATTTTTTTTTTTTTCGTTTTCTATGCAATGAATGTCGTTTTTTCTCTCTCTCTTTTGATAATTCTTTGTTTTGAGTAATTTTGTTATGAATTACAAATGCATTACACTCTATATATCTCTCCTGAAATTATTTATTTTCTCTCTCTATATTATAGTTGTATCTAATTTTTTATATTTATTCTTCTATCATTTCATTTCTATCTATTTCTCTCTTGTTAGTCATATATTTTCAACAGACATAGTCGCCCTCTGGGTTTGCATTGACTGCATGCTCGCGTGAACACCCCCCTCCTCCATAAGGGATAATGCCTGTGTCCTCATTGTTGCCTCTTATCCTCACCACTTCAGACAGCGTGCTAATAATCAGCAGCCCCTGAAAAAAAAAAAACCAGGACAGTTACAAGAACATCCTCTAAGAACATAATGCCTGTCTAGACACTGGGCATCTGTTGGCATTTCCCGCGATAGCGATCAGCAAGGGGTGGGGGGCGAGAGGAAGGAGGGAGGGAGCTTCAGCGGATTAAGGGGGACTGTGAAGGAGGTGAAGGAGCAGGAGAAGAGATGACCTGACTGCTGCACCCGAAGGCGCTTTCTTCGCGTGTTGGGGCCCCATGCCCT